GACCTCTCAATCTTTGAAAGATTCAACAAATCAGGCAGTCCCGCAAAACAGTTTTGGAACTGCTCTAGAAAACTTGAAGAAATATCATCCGTCCCATGCGATCCTGTTGTACCTAATGATAAGAGCAATCAGTTGGACTGTGCGTCGCACCGTCGAGGAATATACCCTGTTTATTTATTTATTATAATGGATCCACCGCTTGCTCTTGAATACACTCGTTGGTTATGCACAGACCTGTAGACCGCTTGCACTGTTATCCCTGTTGCACTGTACTGGATGAAATTCCATGGTTTCAGATAGGCGGCAAACCAAAACAGACGCTAAGAAAGCTATCCAGTGATTTAGGTGAGCGATTTTTCTGTGACCTACAGGGTCCGTTGCACACAAGACGATCTGATCAAATATAATGGTAGAATTAATGGTATTCATGGGACACGAGTCATCAAAGTGGTAGAACCCACTGCATTTCAATGCTTGAAGTGTAACTGTGTGCATCAATTGAACTGGGCACCACTTACCCCCACGTTCAACATCGTAGCTGTTTGGATCGAACTGTGCATCGTCATTTGGCATATGCACACTGGCAATGAGCAGATGGTTCTGTTCATCCGAAGTATGGGTACCCAAAATGAGACGATGGACAGAATAGTCTTTGCCCTCGGGTCTACGGGGGGAAATTAACGGGGGGGGGGAGCAAATCAAAGTGGAATAACATGAAATCTTGATAAACGGAAATTTGGAGAGCAAAGAACGTGACAGAACTTGGAGGACTGAATTAAGACTTATGACGGGGCGCGACATAACACAGGAGCTTATTGCGTGGTAAGGAAAAAAGAGGCGCCTACCGTGTAACTTCCGGTAACCACTGCGCAGTCAGACTTGGCCATTCAAGTGCGTGTGTCATAACCATGTCATATAGAAACGGAGTGTTCTTCTTCCAGATTTTGTACTCTTCATTGATAACTCGTTCCTCCACGCCATCTTCATAACCTTGGGAAATGTGGGAAGTAACAAACGTTTAGAGTACAAGACAAGAACGAAATGGAGCGTCGGCAAGCGCAGAAAGCGAAAGCCGCGGAGAACGTTCTTCGCCAACATGAAGATTTAGTTGCTTTACAGGTGAGTATAACAACATGTTGGACATCAGTAATACGCCGGCACATCGTTCCAACGCTTTGCTGTCCCGCCACCACCAACGGTCGCGCGTGTCCTGGATATACCGCAAGGTCGAGCGCACCTACGCGGATTCGAATCGGTGACCCTCGGATTAATGCAAGCGTGTAATCAATTCGGCTAACGGTCGAATATAACATTGAATTGTGGCGGATCAAGGTTGGCGGAGAAACTATCCTCCTCGACACAAAGTAGTTAACTGGTGCCAGACAGTCATGAGGCTTTAAAACGAATAGCGAGAACTTGAACACTTGACAATACGTATGCATTAATTTGCAGTTAAATAAAAAACCAATAATAAGGCCACAAAATTAAAATGTTTTGCAAGCAGCTTCTGAGTGACATCAGGGATTATTAATTGATGGGTAACAGCAGCCGACATGCGGAAAAATGTAGCGTGGACTGACGGTAGAACATAAGACTGGCGAGCCTTAGGATCGCAGACTAGATATCAAAATGTTGTGAAGGGTTAAGCACCATTCTGAAGCGACGGCCTATCCTGCTTTAGTTACTCCCACGAGGCAATCAATGGTTGGATATCAGAGAAATTCGGTCTCTTGGCACTGTATGCCAAGATTTGCAAATGGAGCATCACCAGTCAGATGAAAATGGAAAGCGTAGTACCCACGGAGCGTAATCTTGCTCTGAAGCAAGTCCAAACAATTTTATCATTAAAACCGTACCTGATTCTGCGTCTATCGCTGTGCAGTTTCAAAATGGTCGACCTTACTTTATAGATACCAGCATTACGCACGTTATAGAGGTGCTTCGATCTGCAGACGGCAACAAAAACGCTACTGGTGTTGGTTAAGAGCCACGTCCCGTGTGTATTCGAGACAACAGCCTGGAAGGCGGTAAGGGTTAAAAACACCCAATACAGTCATCAGTAACTTAACCCACTGATTACTCGCCTCGAGTTCTGCACCATCCTAGACCTAGTAAATGAGGGTAGACACTCAAAGTTGAAGTTGGAGAATCCGCTGGCACTGGCACTGCTAGTGTTGGGATGAGCAACACTATGTTTCCATTTTACTTACGGTCCTTGTGATCGGAATGACCGACGTCCACCTCAAGTGAACCGAGGTCTCAATAGAGGTTGCTTGTAGCCACCCAATCACCAGCGGATTCTCCAAGTTCAACTTTGAATTCGTTTCCACTGTACCAAGCGTTGCTCGCGGATCTCAGTGGCATAGTGCTTATGGCGTCAACCATGAGCCACTAGGCTCTGAGTTCCAGCCCAACTCAGGCTATCTCCAACTGATGAGTCCAAACCAAGACGAAACCGAGGGTAGACACTCTTTTCAAGGTAATGGTCTGACACATGCAAAGATGACTTATTCAGCTTAACTGCTTCGTGAGTCAAGCGGGATTCGCACAGACATTACAATCCAAGCAAAGAGCGAAGACGGTCGTGCAGCAGAGAACCATGTCCACCGCTGCTCGACATGAGGTCGACGCATCAGTGGCTTGGAACCAGCATAAATGCCTTCCTTGCCTTAGTACCTAGAGAACAAGACAGCTGCAGGTTGTTGAATAATCACATGAGCATTAGACTCTGGCATCAGAGAAGCACCACACACTTCGACATCAACGGGGCCCAGTGTGCGTGTACATGAAACTTGCGTTTCAAAAATCTCATGAACGAGCGTTGGAAGCAGTCAATTAAACGGTTGGTGAGCAGATTCATCATCAACATACATTGATGAAGGTGAAAAACACACCTCAGCTAATGCACCGCAATACAAGAAAGAAAGGATATTAAGCATGACAGATTACAAAACTAAAAAATAATATAATGCTAAATACGCACTATGCATTGGGTATGAGATCGTTGTTGGAAGGAAAACCTAATCGCGAATGGGTAGGACAAAGAAATCTACAGCACAAACACCATGCTAACTAGTGTATCCAACCAAACGTGTTCATCGTCCTTCTAGCCCATGACCGGAAGACAGTAAGCACCAACCGATGCCAACTTCGAAGTGAGGGTTTTCATTCCTCTCGACAAAGTCATCGGTTGGCCACCCCTCCTCTACTTCCATACACACCCCGGTCGCGTAAGGGATACCCGACGCGAGAGTTGGTGTGCTGGCATATGCAACAGGTGGTCCAACCATCAGAGCCTGGTTCATGACATAACGGTGCTGAGCGGTTCACTCCATCTTCTTGTGCCCAATACGCGACGCCGAACACATTTATTGCTTACGCGGTGCTCCCACCAGACATGAGATGAACTGCGAAGGCAGCGATGGTCGAACGCAACTAGCTTCTTTCTGTCGGTCGTCTTGATGGGCCAGGCTTCGAAACCGTATAAGAAGGTTCAACGGATGGCTGCATTGTGAACTCTGCTTTTCAAGACGAGAGTGACGTCGTGCCGGTGAAACAGGTGGCGGAGATTAGCGAAAGTGCTTCGAGCTTTCGCTATACCTTTTGTGATCTTATCTTCGATCCCAAGGGGTACTAATATAACCGCCGAGATACTTGAATTTCTGGATGACTTATAGGTGATCACCACTAAGGGTCAGTGTAGGAGTGGGTCCCTGCCAAATTAAAGGTGCTAAGGATAGCCCGAAACGACTGACAGCTAGAGATAATTTATCCAGTGCCACCTGGCACGTTTGGGAGGTGCCACAGATTAGGACAATGTCGTCGGCATACTAAAAGTCAAAAAGTCGGTCATCTGGGAGTAGGCACACACTTTGTAGGTTGTACCCAGTGAGGGCCATTTCCATAACTTCGTCAATGGTGAAGTTAAAGAGGAAAAGTAACAGCGGCCAACCTTGTTCCACACCGCTGGAGATATTGAATGCGTGACCATTTTCCATAAATCCTCATCCTGCCCAAACTATGCGCGTACAGCGCTCTTGTGGCATTTACATATTTTTCGGGCACACCATTCCTGAGTAGATAGTCCTAAAGGGCACACCGATCCACGGGACCGAAGGCACTTTGATGTCGAGGAACACGGCTACGGTGGGTTGCCAATAAACATGGTGCTCCAACAATTGACGTTATGTGAAGGTTTGGTAAATGCAGCCCCGATTTCGACGAGACCCGGCTTGTTCCTAGCGCATCTGGCTTTCATGGGTGCAAATCAGTCAATGAAGGATGACGGAGGCAAGCAATTTGGAGACGATGGAGGTCATACTGATTCCATTATGGTTGCCGCATGCCGATCGTAAGCCTCCCTTTAAAATTGGAACTATAACGGAGAGGCTCCAGTCTGCTGGGACAGTCTCCTGATCCCATAGACTCACTAGTAAGTTATGCAAACCACCCATAAGAGCAGGTCTTTAAAATTTGAAGACGGATAAGTGAAGTTCATCTGCTCCGGTGGTATTGTTTAATTTCAACCATCTGATCTCACGTTCGACTCCTGCGCATGACGGCGAATCCAAGGAGACGGCTCACGGAGAAGGGTGATCCATAGCCATTAGAGAAGCTGGTAACCGTGACTGATTAAATTGCTCTTCAAAGTGTTCGGCCCAACGTTCCGAACGCTTTGACAAGCTGTGGATCGACTGCCCACTCTCGTCGCGTACGGTCTCATTAACACCAAGCCTCCTGTCGCCCGTTTCCCGTATCAGACGGGATAACTTCCGATGTCTGTCTTCATCTCCGAGACACGATGAGACCACCAGATTTCGCAGACTCATCAGGCTAACACGCAGTTTCGCCCTGAGATCTTTTCGAATTTCATTGTGTTCGCTTTCAGCCGGAATGTGTAGGCGAGCATCGATAAGTTCCAGAGATTGCATACAGATCCCATGTCTGTTAGCAATTTGAACTGCCACATGCCTGCTGATAGTAACGTCTGGCGGATATGGAACCATTCACTCATTCACTATACACATTAGCTAGAGGTGGAAAACACCTCAGCTACTGTGTCGCAACACATAAGAAAAGAAAAAACACAACAGGCGCATGGCAGCTGAGCTACAACTAACGGATGGGCATCGTTCCGTGAAGCTACCAGCCGGCTAATAGGCAGCAACAAAATATGTTATGCGAAATTATATTACGCTAAGAAATGAGTTCGCGGTTGGAGGGGGCCAAGAGAGATGAGCAGGAACAAAGAAACTCACATGAACGCCACTTAGGTCGGCTCCTAGCCATAACAACAAGTGTATCTAGCCAAACGTGTTCATCATTTTTCGGACACCAACCAGGGAGCCAAGATGATCCAACCGAGGCCAACGTCGAAGTAAGGGTCTTCATTACTCTCGGCCATGTCATCACTTGGTCAACTCTTCTATTCTTCCATCCACACCCCCCGGCGCGCAAACAACGCACCTCGCGGGAGTCGGGGCGCTGGCATGCGCAACACATGACCCAGCCATCGGAGCCTGGTGCGTGAAATAGCCGTACCCAGCGGTTCATTTCCTCTTCAGCTGCCATAAACAAAGGGTCGAACAGGCTCCTTGTTCACAGTGTTCCCACCAGAAGCGAGTTAGATTGCGAAGGCACCGGTGGTCGAACCTAACTAGCTTGAGTCTGCTGATCTAATGGGCCAGATTTCACAAGCGTACAGTAGGGTCGAAAGTACGGCTGCATCGTACACTCTAACTTTCAGGGAGAGAGTGATGTCCCGCCGCCGCCATAGCTGGCGAAGATTAACAGAAGCGCCTCGAGCCTTAGCTATATGGTTCGTGATCTGGTCTTCGACCCCAAGGGCGCTGACACAACTTCCCAGGTAGTTGAATTTTCGAACAACTTATAGCTGATCCCCACCAAGGGTCAACGCAGGAGGCTGTCCCTGACAATCTTGGAGGAAAGCTTTGCACAACGAGGATGCAAAGCATAGCCCGAAACGGCTA